TTCTGCTTTTCCATAAGCGCCACTTACTGTCAAATAGTGAAATTGTATTTTCATTCATCTTTCGTTGGTTTAAACTTTAAACAGAGAAATAAATAAAAACTTGTGTCAGCCACGGAATAAAAACAAGGGGATTGCGACTTTTTATCTCACAATTCTGACTTTCTTTCCTCACAATTGCGAGTTTATATTAATTTATTTCTACACAAGTATGACATTTTTTCCTCATAATTCTGAGTTTAGACATGAATTGCGAGATATAACCTTGGAATTGTGCGAGATAAGTCAGAATTGCGAGATGTAAATTTGGAATTGCGAGAAAAAAAGTAGAAAGTAGTTTTTTATTTCTGTAGCAGAAACAAGCTTCCATATAAATAGCATTAGGGGTATAACGATACACAAACCTGACGGTTCGGTTCGTCCCACGGTTTTGAGGTCTCGGTTCGGTTCGGTTCGGTTCGGTTCATTTCGGTGGGGTGGGGGGGTTTAGAAAGCTAAAATTGCTTTTATTTTTTATTAAACAGTGCTTTAATGAACAAATTGTGTCCTTGTCTTTAAATTAATTCAATTACAAGTAAACGTTTCTCAAGGATAACAAAATGATCTGCTAATGCTGTAAACTACAGCCCTTACTTGCACATTACTATAACATTAAAGCTTAACAACAGAGCCTAGACTTTTAGCCTAAATTATATAATAATAATCAACACTCAAATAACAAATTGTATGAAAACATGTAAACTGCACATAAGGAAATTTTTGCATTAACATGTTTTTACTCTAATTTGTTATTGTTATATAATAATTTACACAGTTGCTGTTATTTTCATGACAACTATTTTAAACATACATTAAATAATCAAGATATCATAAACAGGTTAAGTAAAATATAATATATAGGCTAATATATAGCATTTATTTAGTGAAAGAGTTAGCAAACCAGCAAGCTGTGGACACTGAATGACTTGCCTGAGGTAAATATAAAGGTATGTGAAAAACTAAGCGTTTTATTGACGTATTTCCGCTGTTGAAACACTGATTGAGTGTTTACACGAGTTATGATGCCTTTCAGTAAGTATACTGTATCTTTCAACATACCTTCGGGTGTCCATTCATGTTTATTCTGTAACTGAGGAAGAGATGATCCGCATGCATACAGTGATATCTGTCACGCCACATCTAAGAGCCCCAAAACGGCATTTAGGCTATTGTTTGCATTTCGTGATCAAATAGACATAATTTGAAAGATTACACCTTGCTTATTATCAAAAGTAACAAAACACTGAGCTTATTGCGATTATATGTGGTTAATGGTGGTTAGGCAACAGCCCTGTATTCGTTGTGTACACATAACACATGAGGTGCAATGAGCCGGGGCTGGGCAGCAGGGGGCGGGGCAGCAGGGGGCGGGGCAGCAGGGGGCGGGGCAGCAGGGGGAGGGGCGTGTTCGGTTCGCCATGAGAGTATCGCGATACGTATCGTGGGTGGTGTACCGCGGTTTTTCGGTTCGGTTCAAATATCGTTACACCCCTAAATAGCATGTAAAAAATCAGATGGAAATTTCATGCGTAATATTGGTGTTGGTGTGAACAGGCCTTAAACCCGTTGACATGAGTAGTGAAGTGCCTGTGATCCGTGTGTGTAGTCAGTAACGCTGGCGTCGGGCTGGTCGGGCCGGTGGAGGGGCTCAGTATGGACGACATGGCAAACGTGTTCGAGACCAATTTCTACGGTGCGGTGCGCATGATTAAAGAGGTCATGCCCGACATGAAGAGGAGGCGCTCTGGACACATCGTCGTCATCAGCAGTGTGATGGGCCTGCAGGGTAAACACGGGCTGTTTATTCACTTCACTGCATTTATTGCGATTAAGGGTTCTTGCTCTGCTTGAGGATTATTGTCCTGACACACGTACAGTCAAACCAAAAATTATTCAGACACCAGATATAATTTTGATATTTGTTTCAATAGTGTGTGCAGGACACTATAGTTCATTTATGTAAGTGAGGAGTAAACTGTGACATATTATACCCAAATATTCTTCATACAGTGACTACCAGTGACAATGATTCCTCCACTTTGAGCTGATGATGTTTTGCTGAAGTGTGTTTTCTGTAATTGCTAATGCTCTTTTTACACACACACTGAACAACATGAAGCATTGCTTGGTCACTGGTTGAGCTAAACTGGTATTATCTAATTGTGTAGTTAAATTTAACAGCTGACAGATATTCAACATAATTCATGTGTGAGAGTCTAACAGAAGGACGGACAAAACCAGTCAAATATCCACTGATCTGAGAACTCTGAGTTCTGCTCATGTTTATCACCATTGTCTAAACTATAGCGAATAAACTGAGATAATGTGGGACATTTTGAAGGTGTCTGAATAAGTTTTGGTTTGACTGTATATTTCTCCTTGAAGAACAGCAGAAGATCTCTTACCTTTCATGTGGATGAAGACAGATGACCTGCTGAATGACACACATGTAGAAACATCATCAGTGTACAGAACATTCACAACTCTAAAGTTATAAAACCGCGGTAAGAGATGTCCTCTGTGTCGTGGGTTGGTCTTCACAGGTGTGGCGTTTAATGACGTCTACTCCGCGTCAAAGTTCGCCATAGAGGGCTTCTGTGAGAGTCTGGCCGTCCAGCTGCTCAAGTTTAACGTCACGTGAGTTTCCCTGCACTCTCAACACCAGCGTTTGCTACTAAGCTCAATTCTACACTTCTGCATTTCATCTTCTCGTTTATACTTTGATTTTCAGTATCTAACACTCTTTGGCTCAGTGATCAAACACCATGAACATTAGCAGAATCGCACGAGTGGTGTTGTGTGAGAGGTCCCTCTGCTGGTGTGGAGAGGCTGTTACGGGTACAAACCCTATAAAGATCTCAGATCAGGAACTAAGATCTAGAGTAGTGGTTCTCCAGAAGCGAGCCACAAGATTACTTAAAATGGCTTAAAATGTGTAACAACAAAGCATTAAAATTAGCTGAAGCAACTAGAAACCAAGATATAAGCCGACCATTTTAATTTGTCCCTCAAATAAATGAAATTGAAGAGCCAGGTTTCCCATGCAAATTCATATTTACAAGGATTCATAAAAATTAGGTCAAATAACGAATTAGGTCAAGCTATATAATGTAATCACGAATGACATGAAAAGTCATGAAAATTAATTAGTCATAAAGAGTGTAATTTTGCATTGCCACTGTTCTAGAGAATCATCTAGATCCTGTTACATGTTCCCAATTTCTTGTTTGGACTTTTGTGTTACTTCCTGTCCCGAGTGCCATGTTTGTAGTTTTCTTGTTGATTAGTCTTGTGTTATGTTTATTGTTAGTGTGTATATGTAGCTCTCTTCGCGACAACACAGACACAGGTCAGTTCTTTGAAACGGGCGTTTATTGCTGTGGGCACGTCTGGTCTCTTGGTACATCCAAGCTTCGTTCAACAGTTCTGTACACCATGCCATACACCATGCCATACACCGTGAGAACTACATTGTAATGAACACAATACAAATAAACCAATACATTAGCTTAGCAGAGAAAATACAAACAGCATCCAGATCAATAAAGACAATATAATAATACCTCGTTGGCCGCTTGTCGTGAAAAGAGGTTACTGAATTCTTTAAAGTCTCTTGAAAGTCCATTTAACCGTCTGCATTAACTTCAAAAAGCACATTTGCAACTTTGATGCAGTTTAACAAAGCCTCGAAGCCATCTGCTCCACTCGAATCCAAAGGAAGTGTGTGTCGACTTATACCGTCGTAGCGGTAACACATACAGAAAACATTAGTTCCGGGACAAACGTAAATACACAGAATGAGATAAATACACTGTTAACCATGTCTTATTTAGCAGCTTATTTTACCCTTTAGTTCTTAAGCATGTAATATATTTTATCTTTACATAAAAATAATTTCTATTTGTTACATGAAATTATAACAGCAATTATGAACTATGCATCATGAAAACACAAGTATTTATGCAACAACACTTACACTCCCACCAAATCCCTAATTAACTTCAAATGTAGGATTTATATACACGAAAGGGCAATTAAGTGTTGTAAGACTGAATGAATGTAATCTTGTGTATGTGACTTAGTTAGATTCAAGTAAGGTAACTACTTTGTGAATGGGCCTTTCGAGGTAGACTCTTTTAGTTAGTGGCTGTCCTTTATCAGTAGTGTCTCCGACTAGTAGCTTCAGCTTCCGCACCATACTGTCTGCACTAGGGTGAACTTCTACAACCCTGGCAAGCTTCCATTCATTTCTTGGTGAGCTGTCATCTTGTAGAATCACAATGTCATCAACTTGTGAATTCCGTGTTGTTCTTTGCCATTTCTGTCGTTGTTGAAGATTTAGCAAGTATTCCCGCTTCCATCTTTGCCAGAATTCGTCAGCTAAGAACTGCACTCTTCTCCAACGTTTGCGCAAATAGAGATCTTCTTTGCAGAACTGTCCAGGAGGGGGCAGAATAACTGATGATTTCATCGTTAGTATATGGTTGGGAGTGAGAGGCTCTGGTCCGGTGGGATCGTGAAGATGTTCAACACTTAGTGGCCGGCTGTTGATTATAGCCATTGTTTCGTAGAGAAACGTTCTCAGCGATGTGGTGTCAAGTCTGCTTGCGGATTTGTCGAGCATAACGGTTAAGATGCTTCGGATAGTTCGAATTTGACGCTCCCAAACTCCACCCATGTGACTTGCTGATGGGACGTTCGTTACAAATTCGCAACCAAATGCTCGTTGACGTTCTTGGTCAATTCCTTTGAGCAAATCAGAAAACACTCTCCTGGCACCCATGAAATTTGTTCCCTGATCGCATCTCAATTGACGCACAGGTCCTCTAATAGCTACAAAGGTTCGAAGCGCATTCATGAAAGCATCTGTTGTTAAGTCGTCTAGTGTTTCTATATGTATTGCTCTGGAGCATAAGCAAGTAAACAACAATCCGTAGCGTTTCAATTCCTTCCTTCCTTCCTTTACGATGAAGGGGCCAAAGCAATCAATGCCACAATAGGTAAATGGAGGGGACATTTCTGTTCTATCTTCGGGGAGATCTGCCATCTTTTGGACTTCTGTGGCTCTTCTGTATCTCCTGCAAGTTACGCATTTATAAACGTGTGAGGAGACCGCACTTCCGCAGCCAAGAATCCATATTCCATTTGCACGCAGCTCGTTCATGGTCATGCCTCTTCCTTGGTGATGTACACGCTCGTGATAATGTTTAACTAGAAGGGCTGACACATGAGATTTTTTCGGAAGTATTGCCGGATGTTTTACATCATAGTGTAAGGCTGATCGAGATAATCGTCCTCCCACCCTGAGAACATTGTCCTTGTCCAAGAAGGCATTCAGCTGGCTTAACTTGTTGTGCTTGTTCAGGGTATTTTCTTTCTGGAGCTTGATTTTCTGAATGTCTTCAGCAAAGGCTTGTTCTTGCACCAGCTTGATAATAAAGATTTCGGCTTCTCTTCTTTCTTCAAGGCTAGTTGCTTCCTTTGTTCTTGACTGATGTCCTTTGAATTCTCTGATGAATCTCTTTAGCCTAGCAGTAGCTCTCACTGCTCTGGACCAGTCAGAAAACTTTGTGAAGCGGTTCACCATTGAATTCACCTCTTTCGTCTTCACTGCATGAACATGGGATTTGCGAAGCTCAGGATCGGTCGTGTCAACTTCTCCCACCATTTCCTCTTTACATGGAAGATTCTGCTGCCAGAGAAAGTCAGGTCCTTTCAGCCAGTTAGACTCCTTCAACTGAACTGAAGTCAGTCCTCTTGAGGCGTGGTCGGCTGGATTATTTCCAGAGCTGACATGTCGCCATTGTTCAGGATTCGTGCTAGATCTTATGCGTTGGATCCGATTGGCTACGAATGTGTGGAACCTCTTGGCATCATTGTTCACATAGCCAAGAACCACCTTCGAATCAGTCCAGTAATACTCTTCTAAGTTCTCAATCTCGAGCTCCCTTTTGACAACATCACCATTGCGGACTGAAGTCACAGCTGACGACAATTCAAGTCTTGGGATGGTCGTTAGCTTGGTAGGGGCTACTCTTGCTTTCCCCATGACGAGTGAACAACTGATCTGTCCTGTTTCACTTATTGCTCGGAGATAAGAACATGCACCGTATCCATTGAGACTTGCATCTGAAAAGTTGTGTAGCTCATAACGCATGACTGAGTCAAAATGTGATGGAAGGTAACTTCTTGGAATATTCAGTGCTGCCAGGTGTGGCAAATCCTTAAGCCATAACTCCCATCTTGGCAGAATGTGTTCGGGGAGATCTTCATCCCAGCCTACCTTTTCTCTACATAGCTCTTGCAGAATCTGTTTGCCGACTAATATGAAGGGGGCTACAAATCCTAACGGATCGTAGACAGAGGCGACTGTAGAGAGAACTCCTCTTCTTGTCAGTGGGCTCTCTTTAACCACGACTCTGAATTTGAATTCATCAGTTTCGATGCACCACTGAACTCCAAGTGCTCGCTCGATGTGAAATTCTCCTAGGGCCATGTCTTGATCTTTGCTCTGTGCACATTCTTCTGGTGGTATTGAGGCGATCACTTCCTTTTCGTTGGACACGAACTTGTGTAGCCGAAGATTTCCTGTTCTGCACAAGGCTCTAGACTCTTTCACCAGATGAACGGCTTCATCGATTGTTTTTACGCTTATTAAGCCATCGTCGACATAGAAGCTTCTTTGGATGAACTTTATGGACTCCTCGCTGAACTTTCCATGACCCTGAGATGCCAGATGTTTGAGTCCAAAGTTGGAGCAGCCTGGGGACGATGCTGCCCCAAACAAATGCACCTTCATCCTGTACACTGAGGGTTTGGAGTCCAGATCGCCTTTGTCCCACCAGAGGAACCTTAAGTAGTCTTGGTGTTCCTTTGCGACGTGAAACTGATGAAACATTCTTTCAATGTCGCACATGATGGCTATTGGGCTCTTTCTAAATCGACATAGTACTCCGACTAATGTGTTGGTCAGATCTGGACCGGTCAGCAGATGATCATTTAGAGAGGTTTCTTGGAAACGTGCTGAACAGTCGAAAACGACACGGATCTTCCCAGGTTTGTGGGGGTGATAGACTCCGTGGTGCGGAATGTACCACACTGATTGACTATCGAGTTCATTCCACGGGACCTTCTCAGCATCTCCTAGGGTTATGATGTCATTCATGAAACAGACATAATCCTTGTTATACTGCTCATTTTTTCTCAACTTTCGCTCTAAAGAGGTGAGCCTTCGAACAGCACATTGCTTATTGTCTGGGAGATTAGGTTTATCTGTCTTGAAAGGAAGTGGTAGTTCGTAGTGGCCGTCTTCCTTGTGCTTTATACCCTTCGTTACTTTAGACAAGAAGAGAAGGTCTTCCTGAGAAACCAGGTTGTCATCTGTAGTGTTATCTGCGAAATCGTATTCGAGAACCTTAATGATGTCTGTTGGACTAATCTCTTTGACTTGAGTTCTGCAAGCAAAGTGTACTTCCCTCTTTAACTCAACTGATTGATGCACTGCAGGCGTCACCTGTCGCACTATGATTCTATGACTGGTTCCTATTGCATCACTGCAGTCACTTTCTGTATTTGAGCAGCCGACTATGCTCCAGCCGAGATCAGTTCTCTGTGCGTATGGATGGTTCTCTTTGCCAGCCAGGATTTCCCTTGGTAGAAGAGCTTGCTGACAGTTATAACCAATCAATAGGCCTACTTCGCAGTCCAATGGTGGTGGACTCTTGTCTGCTAATTGTTTCAGATGAGGCCATTTTAGGGCAGTTTCAGAAGTCAGAATGTGCGACCTGTCTGCTGGGATAAACTCTCGTGTGAAAAGTGATGGTAATGGAATCCTTTTGTATCCTCTCACTTGCAGGTTTGTTAGCTTTTGACAGGGTATGACTGTCGACCTTGTAGACATCGTGGATAGTCGCAAACTGACATTTTCTTTGTTTATGTTGAGATCCTGGGCCACTTCGTCTAGAATAAAGGTTGTGTCGCTCTGTGTGTCTAGAAGCGCATAGACAAGAACTTCTTGATCTGGTCGTTTTATGGATGAGATCCAGACCGGAACAATTGGAGATGTTTGTGTGCTTACGCCGTCTTGTACGACTCTGTTTGTGGTTGCAGTTGCAGTTATCTCTTTGATGTTTGCTTTGTACTTTAAGTGTTCTTCTCCTTTTTGAGGTGATGACCTTTGACGTTCACTGAACTTGTCATCATGCAAACATGTTGGATGTCTCCTCTGGCACCTTTCACATGTGCTCTTGTTATCACATCTTCTCGAGTGATGTCCAGCCTTCAAACATCCAAAGCAAAGCTTCTCTGCATGCACAAACTTGACGCGGTCTTGAACTGTCTTTTCCAGGAACCTTTTACACTTGGAGAGGACATGTCCTGTTCCTTTGCAGAAAACACATGATGGAATGCTGCTCTCTGTTGTGTTTGTAGACAATGTCTTGGCTCGTATGGGTTGGCTTCGTGGATACCTTATTTTCTCACTTTCCACATTCTTGAGCGCCTGTACTGAGGATATGGGATCACAAGCGAGATCTGCTTCCTTCGACAGAAAGTCTACAAACTCTTTGAACGGTGGGTACTCAGCTCTTGTTTGTCTGACTTCCATTGCTTTGCGATTCCAACTGGACACCAACCAGTCTGGCAATTTCAGCAGGATTTTTTGACTCTCATTGCAGTCGTTGAGAACTTCCAATGTTTTAATGTAGGGCATTGCTGCCTCACAGCTCTTAAGAAAGTCTGCGAATTCTCTTAGTTCACAACCATCCTTAGAGCTTATTTTTGGCCATGCGTGCAGCTTGTCTCTGAAGGACTTCCCAATAATGAAAGGGTCTCCGAAACGTTTTTCCAGCAGCTGCCAGGCTGAGTCATATGCTGCTTCAGTTCCTAGTAGGACAAATCCCTCGACAGCTTTCTTTGCGGCGCCACCTAGGTACTTTCTAAGGTAGTACAGTTTTTCATTCTTTGGAATGTTTTTCCTGTTAATTAACGCTTCAAAAGAGAGTTGCCAGTCTTTGAATTTCAAAGGATCTCCAGTGAATAACGAGGGCTCTGGAGTTGGAAGACGATTAGCACTTATAGCTTCTGCTAGCACGTTGACCAAATCAGAGCTGTTCTGCACTTGAGGTATAGGCACTAAAGTTGGTGGGACTTGAGATACCAGTTGTAGGCTTTGTGGACTATGAAGGGCTTGCATTGTAGCTGGAAGAGATTGAGGAATGAATGGGGTGCTTGAGGCACGAAGAGTTTGTGATGCGACTGGTAGAGATGGAGGAATGAATGGGGGACTTGAAGCATAGAGAGTTTGAGATGCGACTGGCAGAGATGGAGGACTAAATGGGGGGCTTGAAGCATGGAAAGTTCGAGGTTCTCCTGCTGATGCAACAGTATGTAGCAAGTCAATCGCTTCAAAATTTTCTTCGATTTGGTTGTAGACCTTTACTCGAGCTCTTGCAGCGTTCAATTTCTTCACTTCTTCAAGACGTTCGAGTTTTCTACGCTGCTCTTGCATTGCTTGCTGTCTAGCTAGGTTCTCAGACTCAAACTGTGCCAGTCGTTGCTTATCTTCAACCTCTAACCTTTGAAGTGCTGTCATTTCTCTTTCTTGTTCATCCAACACTGCCAAGACCTCCTGTGATGCAGCAGCTTCAGCAGCAGCCTCATTTTTTTTAAGTGAGTGGATGCTAGAGTGGGCAGATCCACATTTTGATTGATGAGACAGTAGCCTTGATGGAGCACATGTAGAGTTTAGGATCGATCCAACATCAGGCCAGGGTTCTTCTTCTGTTGTAAGGCCTTCAAGATGCCTTTCTGCCTTTTGAATAATAAATCCTGACAGCGATACACACGTGTCCACTCTGCGCCGCAGTTCTGGTTCAGGAACTTGGACTCGACGTAACTCTTCGTAAACTATCTTTAGATCAGCACACGTACCTTTAATGTTCTCAATTAGCTCATACAATTCGTCTTTGGAGGCCTCATCAGTCAATATTTCTTTGCTTGTTCTTGCATGATACCTCCACTTCTCATAGAGTATTCTATACCGACGTTGTACGCTCTTTAGCTTTTCTTCTTTAAGTTCTTTTCCCTTTTCTGTTAGGGTTCGGGTTCTTTCACTTCTTCGTAGCCTTTCTACTTCTTCTGCAGCTCCATTGTCTATAGCTTCGGCTTCAGCAGGGGATTTGGCATTCTCATGACAGGTCTCAGTGTTTGAGTTAGACATTTTGAGGCTGCGTGTACATGTAAGCTACAGTAGGCTAAGTGTGATTAACTAGGAAGTTTGTTAGTAATTATGTGAATCTTAACAGATGTGCGGAGACTGTGAGCGAAACCTAACTCTAAATACTTGAATATTGCATCACAGTAACTGTGTCAGTATTTAAACTTCTTTAGACTTCAAGTTAGCTTAAAACTAGGAATTAGTTTGGCACAAACAAATATAAACCTTAATTGTGAATTAAATATGTTCAAAATGCATTAAATCACTTGTTTTTGCACTTGATTTTTTTTTACATCGATGAAATTACCCTTTAAACTTAGCTTAAGTTGTACTTTAACTTCTGTTATCTTTCAAAGTATAAATAAAGAAAATAAATTATAATGTACTTTCCTTTAACTTTACTGAAACATGTTAATTTGCTTAAGGGGTTTGAACTTTCTTCCTTTTAGATTTGTCGCAGGTAACAATCATGAATACCAGCAAATTAGATATATCCTTAAACACAAGCCAAAACAGTATGCAAGGGTCACAGACTTAAATCCTTAACTGCAATTTCCAAGTTAAACCACTTCTCACACCACTTGACTTAAGATGGCTTTGGTAGAGCTCTTTCTGGCCTTTACACGGAAAGCTGCACTTTCAACAAAGTCTAATAACCGTTGCTTGTGGTAGCTATGTCGACAGTGTGTCCAGGGCTTTGCTTATCTGATATGCTGGATCTTCGTCTCGTCGTTACCCGCCGTAGTCTCGTCTTCTCTCATACCCGCGCCGAGCAGGTCGAGTTCTCACTGTAGCTCTCTTCGCGACAACACAGACACAGGTCAGTTCTTTGAAACGGGCGTTTATTGCTGTGGGCACGTCTGGTCTCTTGGTACATCCAAGCTTCGTTCAACAGTTCTGTACACCATGCCATACACCATGCCATACACCGTGAGAACTACATTGTAATGAACACAATACAAATAAACCAATACATTAGCTTAGCAGAGAAAATACAAACAGCATCCAGATCAATAAAGACAATATAATAATACCTCGTTGGCCGCTTGTCGTGAAAAGAGGTTACTGAATTCTTTAAAGTCTCTTGAAAGTCCATTTAACCGTCTGCATTAACTTCAAAAAGCACATTTGCAACTTTGATGCAGTTTAACAAAGCCTCGAAGCCATCTGCTCCACTCGAATCCAAAGGAAGTGTGTGTCGACTTATACCGTCGTAGCGGTAACACATACAGAAAACATTAGTTCCGGGACAAACGTAAATACACAGAATGAGATAAATACACTGTTAACCATGTCTTATTTAGCAGCTTATTTTACCCTTTAGTTCTTAAGCATGTAATATATTTTATCTTTACATAAAAATAATTTCTATTTGTTACATGAAATTATAACAGCAATTATGAACTATGCATCATGAAAACACAAGTATTTATGCAACAACACTTACAGTATATATAGCCCTTGTGTTTCCTTTTTTCCTTGTCAGTCGATGTTTGCTGTAGCAGGCAGATGATGGTGCGTGTCCCTGCTCTTTGGTTCTCTATGTTTCTTGGTTTCTCGTTTATGCTTGTTTATTTGTTTAATAAAAACCCAGGCACATCGATCTGAATCTCTGCCTGCCATCTCTTCAGCTCCTGCTTAGTTTTAGAACGAATGACCACAAATGGATCCATCGGGGGTTCAGCTCTAGTGATGGGAAACTGAGGCTTTCTGAAGCATTTGAGATTGTCATCAAACTGTACAGAAAAAAGTTTAATTACTCAAATTACACAATGTGCATTAGTGACATCTGGTGGTCACACTTGTTTTCTCCACCGTATCTAACAAATCACCACTGAGGAGAAAAAGCATGTGACCAAACAAAGCTTTGAAAGTCCATGACTGCCTGCCATCTCTCCAGCTCCTGCTTCATTACAGATCTGAGCTGACTCTTTCTCTGGATGGCGGTGCGTGTATTTGATTTCCCATCTTTCTGTCTGTCTGTCTGTCAGTATGTCAATGATCGAGCCCGGGCCCGTACACACCGAGTTTGAGATGAGGATGATCGAAGACGTTTCTAAGAAAGAGTTCCCCGGGACTGATGCCGAGACACTCCACCACTTTAGGACCTGCTACCTGACCGGCGCAGTCAACATCTTCCAAGGCCTGGGCCAAACGCCCAAGGACATAGCCAAGGTCAGACCACATGTGAAGTAAGGCCTGTTCACAAGCACAACAACTATAATCATAACTATAACCATAAACTTTTGCTCTTACTCTATAAGAGAATAGTGAAGTCCACGGAACAACTATAACAATAATGACACAGAGGAATGATATTGTTGGAATCACTTTTGGAACGATTTCCAGCTAATGAATGATTAAAACATTGACAGCCAATCACAATCAATTCTGCTTTAAAGAGCTCGAGCATTTAAAGCAGCAGATGATGTAAAAATAAAAGTGTACACTTAGATTAAACAGAACATTATCGTCAACTATAAGTTATTGTTACAGTTATGATCTAGTTATTGTTCTTGGTGTGAAACTTAATAAAAGAACAATGGCGTCACATGAGCTCTCTTTAATGAGGTACTGAAGATTTAAATGAAACTCACTCACTCTCTCTCTGTTTTTGAAGGTCACTAAGAAGGTGATCGAGTCGCCTCATCCTCCGTTCCGTAACCTGACGAATCCTCTTTACACTCCGATCGTGGCGCTGAAGTATGCGGACGACACCGGCAGCCTGTCTGTTCACACCTTCTATCACATGCTGTATAACCTGGGAGGAGTCATGAACGTCAGCGTGAGCTTAATGAAGTGCCTGAGCTGTGGATGGTTACGGAGACGAACCATCTCACCAATCTAACACACACATCTCCTGTGGATACTTACAAAGATCAATCGTCTCGTCTAACAGATGAACACAAACATGCAGTAATGTACCTGTGTGTGAACACTGTGCTTCTCTTTACAGCTGGTTTCTACTGTATCTGGATAGTTTAGCCAGACTACACCTTAAGGGTCTAATGATAAACTCCAAATAGTTAAAAACACACAAAAACACACTCTCTCTCTAACTCAAGCACACTTAAAAAGGATGATGTGTTTTTAACTCTGAAATCTTTATTTTTGTCTTTGTACAGATTAAAGTCTAGACAAGTAAACCTTTAGAGTAACTCACATAAGCTGTTAAGATTTCATTTTATAGTTTAAGATAGTATATAAAGCACTATTTTAGTGTATATTTTTGAGGAGATGAAACTAAGTTAGTGGGACAGAGCACATAGTAAAGTCAACCTAATTGAGTGTATTATAAATTGAGCCTATTGAGTGTATTATAGCCTTTTTAAAAATGTGTTTTTGTGTGTCTTATTATTGTAACAGTGTACCCTGAGTTATCTTATAGTGTTATTTATATTGTAGTTATATTGTAGTCAATTTGCCATAGACTTGTTAATGTATTTTCTTGTTTGTATTGTAATGCTTTTTTTTTTACATCTTGGCCAGGGGACTACAGATGAAAAATAGCCTTTTGGCTAATTCTGGCTTTTTTAACCATGTTTTTTCATGCGTTTTTATGAAATTGCACTGTCCCCTTCTAAATAAACCAATAAATCAAATCTAATCTAATAAAGGATAAACAGCATCATTTCAGAAGAAGATGTTGTAGTGATGAAGGCAGCAGATTGAGCTCTGAAGCTCCTGAAAGACTGGAGTTACACCGTGATCATCTGTGTTTAACAGCGATACTGTGAGTGTGTGTACCGCCGCTGATACTGTGAGTGTGTGTACCGCCGCTGATCTCAATTCATTTAGTGAATCGCTGCTAAATCTGACAGCATGTGGAAAAATAAAGAACACTATTAGGAGATGTGATTTATTCTCAGTGAATTCAACCTCCGTGTTTCAATTTGCTGATATCTCGTCACATTCATGATTACTGTCTTCAGTTCAATCATTCATAAACCACTTCATGTTTAAATTAATCACAAATGTACTTTTTGATGATCAGTTTATATACATTTTAGAGCAACCTTATTAATCTTTTAAGATTGAGAACTAGGGATGTGCCTGAAGGCAAATATCTTATTCGGGAAGGCACGGATAATGGCTTCAAAACAAATAACAAATTCTACTGAATAATAGGAAAAATACTGGGCAGACACATTCACTCCTCATGTTTGCTGGATAACAGGTGAACCAGGGTATCATCATAGCACAATATTATACATTAACCTCTAAAATCACTACGCTATAAGAGTGTCTAAAGTGAATGGGTGTAAACTCTGTGAATAATAGGGGCATGATCCGAAATCAATTAGCAACTTGCTGTCTCCACATGACTCAGAAATCAGAGCTTTGTCAAGGTTAAAATGAACTAAAATATTAAATCATACACATTTTCTACTATTTGATATGTCTATTTAAATGTTTTAAACCTTGTACTTTGAGTGAGTGAGTGTAAACTCACCTGAAGTGCAAGTGCATATTGAAACACAGCCTATGAGGCTATCGGCTCTCCGACAATTAAAAGATATTTTAAGAAATGTAATAATTATAATAAAAAAATAATTATTTGATGAGGTGTACAAAACTATGAAGGGAACAGATCTATATTTAAAACTAGCGTCTTGTGTAATTTAACATACTTTTAGACAAACCCCCACCTACGTCTGTTTTTATCTGAATACAGATATAGAAATCAAATCATTTTTAGATTGTTACAGGTACAGATATTATCTCCACTGCACACGTGCCCATGCTGTTATTGGAGACAAGAGACACTGAGGAATCAGGAGAAACCATGAGAAAACATTTATACGTAACCTGGGCGGGCATGGAATAATTTGCACAAAAATCTAAAACTAGACAAATTTGTATCTATTGGTGAATGTAAATGTATTATAAAAAGAGTGATAATGGAGGCTTGTGATGGTTTTTGTTAAGAGGATACTATGTTCTAATATTTCTGTTCTATTGCTACTTGTTGTAGCCTATTTCAAAATGTAGCTATCTTACTGTATGGCTGCTACCTTGGCCAGGTAAAAGAGATTTTAATCTCAATGAGACTTACTGGTAAAATGAGGGTAAATAAATAATATGATAATACGAGATGACTATACTGATCTTGAGGTGCGACGTGTGACAGTTCAGTGGTCTCTGAAATAGTGTCTTTTCATTAATTAAGTTTAAGCAGTCTCTATTACATGAATACCTACAGGACTTAAATTTATCCAGAATTTATATCACGTGACAAACAATGTTTCGAAGTTCGTCACCTGGACTGAAGTTTCCTCTTTCACGTTTTCTTGTTTCTGAGAATTAAAGGTGAAAGAACCATTTAAAAATTGCCTAAGATACAAAAATATTTTAATTATATCCAATTAAAAGTCATATCCAAATATACGGACCTGTATCAGGAAACAGAAATCCATTTGATAAGTCCATAGTGCGCTCGCTCACTTATGTTTATAGCGGCACATTACCAGCGTCTTTATTTATTATTTATTTATTCGTCTACACCTAATGTGATGACATTACTGTCATATATTTGTATAACTTGATGAAAGTCAGTTGTTGTGAAGTAAAAGCACAGACCTTGTGGTAAATTACCTCAGAAAAGCTCCTGTCAGACTCCCTTTGCGCGCGCTCCGTGATTGACGTTTAACGGTTTCTGCTCGAGGGAGAATATTGTGTCTCGTGACGTGTGCCCATTCAAAACATAGGCTCTTCCATTCACACAATATTATAATTAATATTATATTGAAATATGTGCAAGTGAAATATTTATAAAAATTTTAAGCTTTGTCTTTTCTAAACGGTGCTTGTATTTTGATAGCAATTTTAAATATAAAAACCGGGACTTAATTTAACTGCAACCTAATGTAGCCTATGACTGTGCACTTTATATAGGCGATCTATCTCTATCTGCTGAATCACTATCACACTGTGCAAATGATAAATCCCGCAGGCTGATTGAGTAATCCGGGCGCGTTCATGTGTGCTGATCCGCTGAAGAGACTCGCACGCAGCTCGCGCTCCATCACTCCGCGGAAACCATGGCGACGGAGGGCCAGCGAGTGGTGCTGATCACCGGCTGCTCGTCCGGGATCGGGATGGGCATCGCCGTGCAGCTCGCGAGAGACGAGAACAAGCGATACTACGGTAAGACACGAATCCATGATAATCAAAGACACAATACAGATCAAAACATCAACAATTTCTGGTGAAATACCACAGTACAGTTATGGCTACTTTAGTTTGCCAAACATTCTTAAAGGAACAACTAATGAATCAAACAAGAACCGACTTGGTATAAATGTCCCTGTTCAGAAGAATCACTTTGTTTAGTAGGATCTTACGGGATTCCTAGAGGAAGGTCTTTCGGACGATGGACATTCCATGAACATCCCTTTATGATTTTTGTCAGACCTGCTTTTATTAGGCATAAACCAAGTCAAATCTCCTTTTATTTTATAGCGCATTTTACATCAGAGATCATTTCAAAGCAGCTTCACAGTATTAAAACATGAAAGTAACTTATGTAAGTACTTATATAAATTATGCAAACTTCATCTAATATTTCATCAAATAAGTTAACGTAGAAAGACAATAGCGTCATTATCCCAGCAAACACGAACGTTCCCATAACATTCCCATATGGTTCCCGTTTAATTATTTTTTGTATAAACTTTCTCTATTGGTTCTTTTTTAGTATAAGAGACCATACCCAGAACGTTCCCTGCAGGTTATTTTTAGATTTTATTTTTATAACCATAAGATGGTAGGGCCGATAAGCTACAGAGATTTATTCTGAAGTTTAATGCAGTTTTTAATATATGAGCTCGGGCAAAACACATTATAATTTGCAGATACCAAGCCAAGGTTAAAGGATAATTCCGGTATTTAGCACTTTGAGTCTATTTTCTAGTGTGTTTTGGATGAACTAGAGTGGTGGACTTAGAAATGTTGACGATGGGTCCTGTCTCGACTTTTTGACTATTTTAGAATCGCCTCTGAGCGCTTCAGAGTGGCTGTCTATGGGCATGCTCAAACATGTCCTTAAAACAACCCTTAACGTTCGTTTTCAAAACTGTGCAACTCATCGAGTGGTTAGTGGTGTTTGTTGATGATTAAAAACAAATATATCGGCGCAATGAATGCTTTCAATCCGTGTTATTTGCTATAGTGGAACTATTTTTTCAGATACCTCACAACCGCGTATAAACTAGATAGAGTTTTCATTTGTACATTTATGAGCCAACCATAATGTAAGAGAAAGAATGACACCTTGACTGTCCACCACGGTCGCCTCTATCAGCCTGTAGGCTCAATTGTGTGTGGAGGAGTCGGGTCCGAATTGGCGTGAAAATTCACAAAATGTGACGTCATGCGCGTTCTCGTCTACTTGGGCTTACATCCGTACGGCAGCCATTAGTAAGCAGCGGCAGTCGCTAGCAGTAGTGTTTCAAATGGACTCTGCGGACGGAAAGAAGCGACCAGCCTCCAGCACAATCCAGACACCCACGGAAACTCCTCCTAAGTTAAAAAGAAAGCCTTATCTAGTGCGGCCAACGAGCGTGCGCACCGAGAACGAGTATGAGACTGGCTGCAGTTTCTCTAACGGCCACTGGTGTCAGTAACGGTTAGAAATTTCAGCAATGCTCCTTTAAGCAAACAACATTAAAAAAGCAGACTGATCTCATGAAATGGCGTATGTATGACACGCCAATTCGTATTTCCATTTTTGGCGTGCTATCAACACGCATAATCGCTTTTCAGCGTGTTTATCAACGCCTTGACTTAACGTTACATTACTGTATTATGTATATATAGATATATGACCTACCCCAACCCCGTCCCTAAACCTACCCGTCACTGGGGTTAATACCATTTATGAGTCTTCCCCTACCATCCTAGGAAAAAAAAATATTGCTCCACAGATGTAGATATAGATTTTGCTTCGTTTCGCTCGTACATTTAACGGCGTACACATACACGCGGAATCACTCGGACATTTAACGGCGTAGACATACACGCAAAAGATGACGTTTCGTTTCGGCGTGGACATACACGCGGATAGCTCAAAATGCGTATAGATAACACGCCACTTGACTTGAAAGTGGCGTGTATGTTTACGCAAAGTCATGATGTCATGTTGAAAAAAGAGCTACTGGTAGAGTTTGAATGAGATCTCAGATTGCTATGCTCTGATTAGCATGGTAAGAGTAATGAACTCATCGACTCATGGAGTCAGAGCTTTAGACTGAAAGGATTGTTTCCATGAGTCAGCAGCTCAATGGCTGTTTGGAGGCTGTTAAGTTTGTTTCTGAAATTTTAATCCGATGTTTATGTGAGTAATAATGACAGAAACTCACTGTAGCCAATAGGAATCAGATCTGACTGATCTGAAGGGACTTGATCAATCCCTCATATTATACACTACCTAGCCAAAAATACATATTTCCATTCAGAGCTGCATTAATTTTTTTTGACCAAGATCTTGTACTGACAATGGGAGAGTTAAAGCTCTCTGTGAAGTCTGACTCATTTATTTGTGTGTGTGTGTTGAGTAACTAGTCCCCTCTCTCTCTCTCTCTCTCTCTCTCTCTCTCGGTGTGTGTTCAGTCATAGCTACGATGCGGGATCTGAAGCGGAAGGATAAGTTGGTTGAAGCGGCTGGAGACGCGTACGGACGAACTCTGTCTCTGCTCACGCTGGACGTCTGCAGTGATGAATCAGTCAAACAGTGTGTCGACAGCGTCAAAGATCGACATATAGACATACTGAGTGAGTTCACACACACACACACACACACACACACACACACACACACACACACACACACACACACACACACACACACACTCACAGATCTGTCTCTGCTGGCTTCTGTTAATTCGTGCTCAGGTTAAGATGATGAATCTGAGCGTCAGTTTCTCTTTTAAGTCTTCAGCTTCAGCCAGAATTCATCTGTGTGTTTGTAGTCAATAACGCTGGCGTCGGGCTGGTGGGGCCCATTGAGGCTCTCAGTCTGGACGACATGAAGCAGGTGTTCGAGACCAATTTCTTCGGTGTTGTGCGCATGATTAAAGAGGTCATGCCCGACATGAAGAGGAGACGCTCTGGACACATCGTCGTCATCAGCAGCGTGCTGGGCCTGCATGGTAAGACAGTCAGACACAGATACTTCTTGAAGAACAGTAGAAGAGCTCTTCACCTTTCATGAGGATCTGCTGAATGACACACAAGTGGAAAAATCAGTGTACAGAAACAGAAAACAGATTTGTGTTGCTCTTTACAGGTGTGGCGTTTAATGACGTCTACTCCGCGTCAAAGTTCGCCACGGAGGGATTGTGTGAGAGTCTCGCCATCCAGCTGCTCAAGTTTAACGTCACGTGAGTCTAAGGGCTTGCACCCAGCGCAATTGACTTTGCACAACGACGGATGTATCATATCTATTTTGCAACCGACGCACAGCGGACTTTATAATCTGCCATTATAATAGCAAATCTGCCATGGAACAAGCGTGCCTGCTTTTAAAGGGAATGTGAGATGACGCTCTGATTGGTTTATTTCACGTTACGCCCAAACCACACTTATGAGTAATGTAACTACTTCAGACCAACCCATTTTAGATCCGCCCACAAAGTTACTTGCTTTTCACGTTTGATAGGTGCGTTTCAGATCTTTAAAATAGTGTTTGCCATTAAACATTGTCTTAAAATATTATTTTAATATATATTCCATTACTAAAAGAGCTTTGTCATTAAGCAAAAGCATCATAAATATATTGCCTACATGGGCTTGAGAGGGTTCTAGAGGGTTCTTCCTGTGGTTCTAGATCTGTGCTGATGCCTCTCACTGCAGTCTGACGTACTTTCCCATCTCTGTCTGTCTGTCAGTGTGTCGATGATCGAGCCCGGGCCTGTAAACACAGAGTTTGAGATGAAGTTGATGACAGACGTTTCTAAGAAAGAGTTTGCCGGTGCTGATGCTGAGACGCTCTCTCACTTCAGGAACTGCTACCTGCCCACCCAAGTCAACCTCTTTCAAGGCCTGGCACAAACACCTGAAGACATCGCCAAGGTCAGAACACACGTGAATTCATACCTGTTCACACCAAGAACCATAACTAGAAACAAAGCTTTAATAATCATTACAGCAAGTCCACACTATTACTAAAATAACGACACACAGCAACGATATCGCTGGAATCACTTTCAGAAAGATTTCCTTCCAGGTAATGAACGATTAAAACACTGACAGCCAATTCAAATCCACCGACTTTAAAAAGTTCAAGCATTTATCATCTGTTTGTGTGGAGGCCAAAAATAGTTATCTTTATAGTTATCATCCATTGGTATGGACGTGAACAGTGTTGGGGAAGTTACTTTTAAAAAGTAGTGTTTGCTCGTTACTCGTTACATTTAAAAAAAGTAATCCGTTACTTTACTTAGTTACCCCCCTTGGAAAGTAACTATTTATGTTACTCGTTACTTTTGCGTTACTTTTATGTTGCTTGACTTTGGGCAGAACCCAATATCTGTTCCTAAATGTGTAGGCATACATACAATTCTACTATGAACTCTACTTATTGAAAAACTAGGGGAAAAAACTAGAAAAAAAGAGAGATTTTGAGATAGAAAAATATATATTTTTATTTAAATAACATTTGAAAAACCTGTATAAACTGAACACCAAAGAACAATCTTAACTATTGAGCGGTGGTGACGCGTTCATGAAAAATGTCACAAAGAACCAGCAAAAGTAGGCCTAATGATTATGAATATGTCAAATATAGCAATGAGACATTTCAATTGTTTATTAATAAACAAGTGTTTTCTTTGTCAGTGTCGGCTGCAAAGATAAAGTTGAGATGCTGACTCGCGATCTTCGCAGTAGTGAACGCGCCAGAGAGAAATGCCCATTTCATACGGATTACATAAGCAGAGAGTAGTCTGTTTTCTTTCGTTTTGAATAGTTTTGTTTTAAAGTACACATTTCAAGCTTTCTATATATTTCTCAGATGATCTTTGAGGCAAGTAGCTTATACGCTGAGTTTCGGTTCATTTATGAGACGCGCTCCAGTTCACGCGCCGGCACGGAGCTCCTGAGAAGTCCTGATTATATTGCCTGCCTGCTATATTTACTTCTTATTTATTAAATCTAGACAATTGGTTGGTAAAAAAATTGATTAAAATTAAGATACAATTAATACAAAACCAAATTCACTTTAACTTCTTAACCCGCATCGGCCCGCGAGCGGGCCGTCGAGGGCGTGGCTATACTTTTATTACCTTTTTTAAGCTTTGTTTTATAACAAATATTCATCTGACTATCATAAACTATGCATCATTTGAAAGCTAAAACACTCAAGAACCATGTTCTAGACTTGTTTTTGCAATCAATACACCAGCCCGTCGGTGTGTGAATGGGTGAATGTGAGGCAAATGTAAAGCGCTTTGGTGGCCATTGGGTCTGTGAAAGCGCTATATAAATGCAGTCCATTTACCATTTACCATTTAAAAGAAATCGTGAGTCACATTCATGTAAATTTTACCTTGTTTTACTCTGTTCCTATGCTACTTTGAGTAATAATGACTCTTGGGTAACAAAGTTTCAAGTGTCTAGTTTAAAAAAAGATCAGAGTTATGAATGTGGACCATAGGGTTTAAGAGCTACAGACATTTGTATTTGGGTATGTCATTTTCAGAAAATTCTCAAAAAATGGGGCGCTGGTTAAGAGGTTAAAGAAAGGCTTTCTACAAAAACAAACAAAAAGATTTTTGAAGTGGCCAAAATCCTGTCTGCCCATTCCATTTGTCTCCCGATTGCACATCTTATGATCTTTCTCATGCTTTTCACTTTTCATATAATCAACATAGATGAAATATAAAAATTAAGTATTTTATTTAAACTAAATCGTTTTCTTTAATGACTAGGCTACAACACGTAGGCCTATACAGTAGGCTACAGAGAAATGTAATATCGGAGCGGAATTTGAGCGAACGCCGTCTTACGGTAAGCATGTGGGGGGAGAGGTACGATTTTCGAGCAATCATCAAATATTATTTTGCTTGATATGCCAATCCTTAATATTTGGTGTTTTAAATGCCTGTTTGAGGTCTCTGTGAAAGTTTTAAAGCAGTCTTTTAGTACCGCTTTCATAGCGGTCACGTCCAAAGAACTATTACGTCCATAACGTTGTTTTTTTCCTCACGAAAAATACAATAAAATGAATATTTTGTGTTCTGTGGAGAGCCAACCGTTCTTCATCCGGTGGGTAGTATTACTTTTGGTTTGCGCAGTGTAATTCACAGAATTGATTGCTCTGCTACCAGCCTCTGTCACTACCGTGTGGAGCTTGTGACTATTGCAAGCGCGCAGCTGAGGAGACAGTGTCGCTGTCAAATCTGTCCCTGGGAAAAGTAACGTTGTGCAGAATTGAAAAAGGAACTACATTACTTTGTAACGCGTTACACACAACACTGGACGTGAATATAGCTATGTATCGTTATAGTTATTGTCCATTGGCGTGGAGACCAAAAGTAGTTCCCTTTCGTCCTGGGAACTCCAACGTGTCGTCGGGGAGTTCCCTGACGAAATGGGATCACGCTAGGGAGCCTAATTACCTCTGATAGAATTAAAAACGAGCCAATAAAAATTGGCATGCAATCTTTGCATTCCGCGAGCCGCCTACAAACGCGGATATAAAAGCGGAAGTAAAACATTGCATAGACGCTTTTTGCTTCGGAGCCTCTCAGAGCTTACCTGCTGTTCTGAAGTTTGGAACGAGCTTGGAGAAGAAACGTTCGGTGTGCTGGTGTGACGGTGCTTCAGTGATCCTCGTCTCAAGTGCAGCACGCGGTTGCAGTTTCCGGCGGTGTCTGCGGCGGTGGTCCCTCGGCGCTTCGGCACTGGAGAGCAGTTTATTTTTTATTTTTTATTTTTTGCTAAAAGAGCTCCACGGTGTGTTCGCGTCCTTTTCAGGATGTCGACTCGCCCGTGCGTTTCTGGATGCGGTCGACTTCTCCCTCAGGCTGATGGCCACAAACACTGCTTCACGTGTCTGGGCTTAGCACACGCTGAAGCGGCGTTTGTGGATGAGTCATGCTCTCATTGCGGGAGTATGACTCTCGCGATGCTACGTTCGAGACTGAGATCCCTGAAACATGGGGGAGTCCCTTCAGAGAATCTCCGGTCTAGTTCGTCTGCTGGTTCAGTTCAGCAGACGGCTACTTCTGTGATTCCTGTTGGTGAGCGAATGAGGATTACTGTGAGAAACGCGACAGGTGGAAGATCCTGTCGGGCGCCTCACACCTCTAGTTGCACGCTGCCATCGGCGCTTCCGGTGGAGCGGCCGGAGCCCCCTCGGGCGGTTCCGGTTGTCTCCTTCGGTGCGCCACCTGAGGATCAGATGTCGATCGCGGCATCGGAGGAAGAGCGGTCATCTTCTGGCGAAGACTCTACGGTGCTGCCCCCTTCGGGTGTGGTGGCGTCGGTGGAGCCTGACCCGGAAATGGCCGCTATGCTCGAACGGGCGGCCGCGAATGTCGGGCTTGCGTGGAACCCTCCACCGGGTCCTGAACCTTCGCGGCTAGATGATTGGTGTCTCGGAGCGGGTCGTGCTGTTGCCCCACGACCCGCTCCAGTCCCTTTCTTTCCCGAAGTGCATGAGGAGTTGAGGAAGTCTTGGTCGGCGCCTCTGGCGTACAGGCGGAGACAACCTCGCTCCTCCTTCCTTACCACCTTGGACAGCGGGGCGGCGCACGGGTACGAGGGAATCCCCCCAGTGGAGCGGTCTATCGTGATGCAACTGTGTCCGAAGGCCGCTTCCTCCTGGTGGGGTGCCCCTTCACTCCCCTCCCGCGCCTGTAGGTTTTCCTCTGGTCTGACCGGGGATGCCTACATGGCGTGTGGAGACGCCGCTTCCGCCCTGCATGCCATGGCGTTGCTCCAAGTCCATCAGGCTAAAGCACTCCATGACTTGCAGGCGGGTGGTCCCGACCCAGCTTTGCTGCAGGAGCTGCGTGTGGCGACGGACTTCGCCCTCCGGGCGACGAAAGTCGCCGCACGTTCGCTGGGTCGGGCGATGTCCACTTTGGTGGTCCAGGAGCGCCACCTGTGGCTGACCCTGGCAGATATGAGGGAAGCGGAGAAGAACAAACTTCTCAACTTCCCCGTATCCCAGGGCGGCCTCTTCTGCGACGCGGTGGAGAACTTGGCCCAGGAGTTCTCCGCCGCCCAAAAGCAGTCGGAGGCTATACGGCATGTCCTGCATAGGAGGCGGCCGGCTGCGGGCCCGTCTCCTGTGGCTGTACAAGCCCCGGCTGCTTCCCGTCGCCGAGGTCGCCCTCAAGCGCCAGCTCCTCCTCCAGCGCAGCCTACCACCCCTGGAACGAGGAAGTCTGGTCGCAAGAGGGCGGCCCAGCCCGCTCAGACGCCCCCGGCCCCTTCCCGTAAAAGGAAGGGAGGGAAGCGTTCCTGAGACGGGCGACCTGGTGGAGGACTTCGGAGCTGCTCAGGAGGGTGCCTCTGCACACCTCCTTCCCCCGGGGGAGGGCCGGCGGGAGAATATTTTGTTCCGTTCTGTTTTTGTTCCCAAAAGTTTCAATAAAAGAGCAGTTTCCTCTTCCTCTTCCAGGTCATCCTCGGTCGAGACTGACGGGCACTCAGTCTCCTCCACCCAAGAGGGTCCGAACGACGGTGGATGCTGTCTGCGAGCAGCATCGCTCTCGTTCCCCTCTTCCCAGTCCGCAGATAGCAGCGACGCTACCCTGGTTGCGTCGCTCCGGTCGGCGGCTGGGCCCAGAGGGGCAGAGGCCAGTTCACGAGGAGGCAGGGCCTCGTGCCTCGTCTCTTCCCCTCCCCTCGGGGCAGCCCGCAGCAGAGAGCCTACGAGCTCTCCCTGCCGTCTGCCCCACGGTGGATCGCCCGGACCCCGCTTCCAGTGGCTACATTGCCACTGGAGCCGGATCCCGACCTTCCACCTCGCTGCCCCTCCGCGGGTACGCCGGTGGTTCGGGTGGGCTTATTGGGTCGGTACCTGGAAGCCTGGCTAGCGCTTCCGGGTCCGTCCCGATGGCTCATCCGCACTATTCGGCTCGGCTATGCAATTCAATTTGCACGCCGGCCTCCCAGGTTCAGGGGCATCCACTTCACCCGTGTGCGGTCAGTGGATGCCCCTGTCCTGCGGAAAGAGATCGATGTCCTGCTGGCGAAGGACGCGATCGAGCCGGTCCCTCCTGCCGAGATGAGGTCCGGGTTTTACAGCCCCTACTTCATTGTACCCAAGAAAGGCGGTGGGTTACGACCAATCCTAGACCTGCGAGTCTTGAATCGGGCCCTGCACAAACTCCCGTTCAAAATGCTCACGCAGAAGCGCATTTTCGAATGCATCCGTCCCCAGGATTGGTTTGCAGCGATCGACCTGAAGGACGCGTACTTTCACGTCTCGATTCTTCCTCGACACAGACCATTTCTTCGGTTTGCTTTCGAGGGTCGAGCGTATCAGTACAAAGTCCTACCCTTCGGGCTGGCCCTGTCGCCCCGCGTCTTCACGAAAGTCGCGGAGGCGGCCATTGTTCCCATGAGAGAACAAGGCGTTCGCATTCTCAACTATCTCGACGACTGGCTCATTCTGGCTCACTCGCGAGATGTGTTGTGCGATCACAGGGACATGGTGCTTCGGCACCTCAGCCGGTTGGGGCTTCAGGTCAACTGGGACAAGAGCAAACTCTGCCCCGTGCAGAGGATCTCTTATCTCGGTATGGAGTTGGACTCGGTCGCCCAGACTGCGCGCCTCACGGAGGAGCGCGTCCAGTCAGTGCTCACCTGCCTCAGGTCTTTTCGAGGCAGGACAGCGGTTCCACTGAAACAATTTCAGAGGCTCCTGGGGCATATGGCAGCCGCAGCCGCAGTAACGCCGCTCGGCCTGTTACATATGAGACCGCTCCAGCACTGGCTTCACGATCGAGTCCCGAGGTGGGCGTGGCAGAGCGGCACGTTCCGGGTCAAAGTAACCCCGCACTGTCGCCAAACCTTCTCCCCGTGGTCGGATCCTGCGTTTCTACGGGCCGGAGTACCCCTAGTCCAGGTTTCCAGGCATGCTGTGGTTTTCACAGATGCCTCTGCCATGGGGTGGGGGGCCACGTACAAAGGGCATGCAGTCTCGGGTCTGTGGACGGGGCCCCAGCTGCATTGGCATATCAACTGCCTAGAGTTGCAAGCAGTACGCTTGGCTTTGTGCCGCCTCAAGGGGCTTCTCAAAGACAAGCACGTACTGGTCCGTACGGACAGCACTGCGACCGTTGCGTACATCAACCGACAAGGTGGTCTACGCTCCCGCCGCATGTCGCGACTCGCCTCCCACCTCCTCCTATGGAGTCAGAAGCATCTGAGGTCGCTTCGCGCCACTCATGTTCCAGGGGAGCTCAACCGTGTGGCAGACGAGCTTTCACGGTTGCCTACCCTGCCAGGAGAATGGCGACTCCATCCCCAGGCGGTTCAGCTGATCTGGAGTGTTTTCGGAGTCGCACAGGTAGACCTGTTTGCCTCTCCGGACACGACCCATTGCCAGTGGTTTTACTCCCTGTCCGAGGGGACCCTCGGCACGGAAGCCCTGGCTCACAGCTGGCCCCGGGGCCTGCGCAAGTATGCGTTTCCCCCAGTGAGCCTTCTTGCACAGACTCTGTGCAAGGTCAGGGAGGACGAGGAGCAGGTCCTGTTAGTGGCGCCGTATTGGCCCACCAGGACTTGGTTCACGGAACTCATGCTCCTCACGACAGCCCCTCCTTGGCCGATTCCTCTGAGGAAGGACCTCCTTTCTCAGAGACGGGGCACTCTATGGCACCCGCGTCCAGACCTCTGGAAACTCCATGTCTGGTCCCTGGACGGGACGCGGAGGTTCTAGGTGATATACCACAGGCAGTGGTAAACACCATCACTTCTGCTAGAGCCCCCTCTACGAGGCGCCTCTATGCGTTGAAGTGGAACCTATTCGTCGAATGGTGTTCCTCCCACCAGGAGGACCCCCGAACTTGCCCGATCAGAGTCGTGCTTTCCTTCCTACAAGATGGGTTGGAGCGAAGGCTGTCTCCCTCCACCCTCAAAGTGTATGTTGCCGCAATAGCCGCACATCACGATGTAGTAGAAGGTAAGTCCGTGGGGAAGCACGACCTGATCATCAGATTCCTCAAGGGTGCTAGGAGGTTAAATCCACCTCGTGTTTTGCGCTCTGCACCCTCTTGGGACCTAGCTCTGGTACTGAGAGCTCTTCAAAGTCCTCCCTTTGAGCCCTTGCTGACAGTGGAGCTGAATATCCTGTCCATTAAGACAGCGCTCCTGTTGGCATTGGCCTCTTTTAAGAGGGTTGGGGATCTGCAGGCTTTTTCGGTCGACGAATCGTGCCTAGAGTTCGGGCCGGGCCTTTCTCGCGTGATATTGAGACCCCGGCCCGGATATGTGCCCAAGGTTCCTACCACTCCCTTCGTGGATCAGGTAGTGAACCTGCAAGCGCTGCCCCAGGAGGAGGCAGACCCAGCCCTAGCTTTTCTCTGTCCAGTCCGCGCCCTGCGGGTTTACACTGACAGAACGCAAAGCTTCAGGACCTCAGATCAGCTCTTTGTCTGTTACGGAGGCCAGCAGAAGGGGAAGGCCGTCTCCAAGCAGAGGTTAGCTCACTGGTTAGTGGATGCTATCACCCTAGCGTATGAAGCTACGGGTGAGCCTTGTCCTCCCAGGTTGCGTGCTCACTCTACGAGAGGTGTTGCCGCCTCCTGGGCGTTGGCTCAAGGCGCCTCGCTGACAGACATTTGTAGAGCTGCGGGCTGGGCGACACCGAACACGTTCGCTAGATTCTAAAGCCTACGTGTGGAACCTATTTCCTCCCGAGTACTCGCTACGGCCAGTGGTGCGAGGGAATAGGTTGTGTCGGCTTGCTACGCCACTCCGTGCCTCAGCTGGATACGTGCGTCTTTCGCTCCGTTGGCGCCCCACGTTGGTTAGCCTCGTGAGTTCCTCCATCACCCCTTCGGTGCCAGGCGTGGCGGACCGCCGGCGCCAGGTCTACTACCTCTAAGGGAGTTGTTGTGTAGACTGGGTGTTATGTCCAGTGGTCTCTTCGGTGACCCATTATGCCACGTGCAGTCCAGCCGTGTCTTCCTCTTGACAGACTCGTTCTGTCGTCCCTGTTGAGTACGCTCCCACTCCCCTTGGAGGGGACTACCTCAGGGACTGCCATATGTTTCACTATCCCCCTGGGCTAGTACATATGTGTATTCCAGGCCTTCTTCAGGCTTCTGGCTTCCGCAGCGTTCCCTCCCCCCTTTTACGGGTTGGGCACGCTTTCCCAGTGTTATCCAATCCACTGTGTGGGTCTTGCGGAACAGCAGTGTGACTCCCTAGCTAGCTCCCACAATTTGTGAAACTGCTTGGGTAGCTTAGCTGGGCGCTGGAAGGGGCCAGCACCATGGCGTTTTGTTTGGGATCCCATTTCGTCAGGGAACTCCCCGACGACACGTTGGAGTTCCCAGGACGAAAGGGAACGTCTCGGTTACGTATGTAACCCTCGTTCCCTGAGTACAGGGAACGGAGACGTGTCGTCCCTTCGCCATGTTGCTGTACCTTCGCGGAGGGCTGGACTCTGTTCGGCTCCTCAGCGAAAGCGTCTATGCAATGTTTTACTTCCGCTTTTATATCCGCGTTTGTAGGCGGCTCGCGGAATGCAAAGATTGCATGCCAATTTTTATTGGCTCGTTTTTAATTCTATCAGAGGTAATTAGGCTCCCTAGCGTGATCCCATTTCGTCAGGGAACTCCCCGACGACACGTCTCCGTTCCCTGTACTCAGGGAACGAGGGTTACATACGTAACCGAGACGTTACCTTTACAGATATCGTCCGTTTGTGTGGACGTTCATTTAAGTTGTTAAGTTGTCCTCTGGTATGAACGTGAATATAGTTATCATTACCGGTATTATTATAGTTATCTTGCATTAGTTTGGATATGTGAAATGTAATAAAATGACTAAATAATGAAAAAAGTAATGTGAATAAAGTCACATGAGCTTATCTTAGATTGAAACTCACTCACTCTCTCTGTTTTTGAAGGTCACTAAGAAGGTGATCGAGTCGCCTCATCCTCCGTTCCGTAACCTGACGAATCCTCTTTACACTCCGATCGTGGCACTGAAGTATGCGGACGAGACGCGCAGCCTGTCTGTTCACACCTTCTATCACATGCTGTATAACCTGGGAGGAGTCATGAACGTTAGCGTGAGAATAATGAAGTTCCTGAGCTGTGGATGGTTACGGAGACGAACCATCTCACCAATCTAACACACACATCTCCTGTGGATACTTACAAAGATCAATCGTCTCGTCTAACAGATGTACACAAACATGCAGTAATGTACCTGTGTGTGAACACTGTGCTTCTCTTTACAGCTACAGGTTACAGCTACAGTATCTGGATATTTTTAGCTAAACTGAATTTACACCTAAACGGGTCCAATGATGCACTCCAAGTAATTAATGGTTAAACACTCAAACACTCTCTCACACTAAAACAGATGTCTGATTTTAACTCTGAAATCTTTAGTTTTTTGTCTTTGTACAGATTAAATTGTAAACATACAAATATTGTTACAGAGGTGTTGATTCATTTTCGGATTAAAATACCAGGGGCAGGGCATTGACCAGGGGCAGGGCATTGACACCAAGAGCCCCCAATAACCTAAAACAAAAAACAAAAAATGAAATGTGC